ACAACAAATCTGTCCATAGAGCTCTGTACCTCCCGTTCCTTCAAGACTTTCCTAAAATGGGCCATAACATTGTTATTGAAATAGTCACCAGCACGGCTTGCAACAGCTGTGTCAGGGTGATTTTCATCCATAAAGGTTTGCAGTTCAACCCACTGTGCACACATTTCCTTAATTTTTGAAGTAGGCACAATGGATTCCACAACTGGCATAGGCTTCTCAGGGTTAGCCCCAAACCCTTCAAAATCTTTCTTAATTTCCATACTAATTCTCACCCTTTTTACCACAGGGTTGGCACTAGAAGCTTTCTTGGGGCCCATGGTCACTTATTTTCCAGAAACAGCACCGAAAACACTGTAATAATACGAAATATTCCGAGTGTATGCTTGAATGTTACCGCGGAGGCTAGCTGGTAAACAATGGGACGGGCGGCACATGTGAGGCTGGCTGAGGGCCCACATTGGACGCGTCTCGGACGAAGTTCGCTGAGCGGGTTTTTGTCTACTATGCGGGGCAAAATTTCAGCGAACAAAGCGTTCGCTATGCGGATTGTTCGCTATGCAAGGCGTTCGCTATGCGGGGGTCCACTGTATATATATATATATATATATATATATATATATATATTATTTTTTTTTTATTTTATTATCACACTGGCCAATTCCCACCAAGGCAGGGTGGCCCGAAAAAGAAAAACTTTCACCATCATTCACTCCATCACTGTCTTACCAGAAGGGTGCTTTACACTACAGTTTTTAAACTGCAACATTAACACCCCTCCTTCAGAGTGCAGGCACTGTACTTCCCATCTCCAGGACTCAAGTCCGGCCTGCCGGTTTCCCTGAACCCCTTCATAAATGTTACTTTGCTCACACTCCAACAGCACGTCAAGTATTAAAAACCATTTGTCTCCATTCACTCCTATCAAACACGCTCACGCATACCTGCTGGAAGTCCAAGCCCCTCACACACAAAACCTCCTTTACCCCCTCTCTCCAACCTTTCCTAGGCCGACCCCTACCCCGCCTTCCTTCCACTACAGACTGATACACTCTTGAAGTCATTCTGTTTCGCTCCATTCTCTCTACATGTCCGAACCACCTCAGCAACCCTTCCTCAGCCCTCTGGACAACAGTTTTGGTAATCCCGCACCTCCTCCTAACTTCCAAACTACGAATTCTCTGCATTATATTCACACCACACATTGCCCTCAGACATGACATCTCCACTGCCTCTAGCCTTCTCCTCGCTGCAACATTCATCACCCATGCTTCACACCCATATAAGAGCGTTGGTAAAACTATACTCTCATACATTCCCCTCTTTGCCTCCAAGGACAAAGTTCTTTGTCTCCACAGACTCCTAAGTGCACCACTCACTCTTTTTCCCTCATCAATTCTATGATTCACCTCATCTTTCATAGACCCATCCGCTGACACGTCCACTCCCAAATACCTGAATACATTCACCTCCTCCATACACTCTCCCTCCAATCTGATATTCAATCTTTCACCTAATCTTTTTGTTATCCTCATAACCTTACTCTTTCCTGTATTCACCTTTAATTTTCTTCTTTTGCACACCCTACCAAATTCATCCACCAATCTCTGCAACTTCTCATATATATATGTGTGTATATTATATATATACAGTGGACCCCCGCGTTACGATATTAATCCGTTCCTGAGAGCTCATCATGAGCCAGAATTATCGTAAGGTGAATTAATTTTCCCCATAAGAAATAATGGAAATCAAATGAATCCGTGCAAGACACCCCAAAGTATGAAAAAAAAAAAAATTTTACCACATGAAATATTAATTTTAATACACGCAAACTGACACTTACCTTTATTGAAGATCTGGTGATGATTGATGGGATGGGAGGAGGGGAGAGTATGGAAGTTGTTAATGTTTAGAAGGGAAATCCCCTTCCATTAGGACTTGAGGTATCAAGTCCTTTTCTGGGGTTACTTCCCTTCTTCTTTTAATGCCACTAGGACCAGCTTGAGAGTCACTGGGCCTCTATCGCACAACAAATCTATCTATAGAGGTCTGTACCTCCCGTTCCTTTAAGATTTGCCTAAAATGGGCCACAACATTGTCATTGTAATAGTCACCAGCATGGCTTGCAATAGATGTGTTAGGGTGATTTTCATCCATAAAGGTTTGCATTTCAACCCACTTTGCACACATTTCCTCAGTGTTTGAAGTAGGCACAATGGATTCCACAACTGGCATAGGCATCTCAGGGTTAGCCCCAAACCCTTCAAAATCTTTCTTAATTTCCATACTAATTCTCACCCTTTTTATCACAGGGTTGGCACTAGAAGCTTTCTTGGGGCCCATGGTGACTTATTTTGCAGGTACAATCACTAAAAACACTGTGATAATATGAAATGTTCCGATTGTATGCATGGATGCGACCGCACTGGCTGGCTTGTAAACACTGGCACCCACGGGGCAACTGAGGTGCGCTCAGGCCACACGTGGATGCATCTTGAACAAACCGCGTTGGGTGAGTTTTTTAGCGTTAGCTGAGGCAAAAATTTTGCGTTAAAATGTGTCATTAGCTGGATTTAACGTTAGCTGATGCCATCATTAGCTGAGGGTCCACTGTACTCATTTACTGACGCCTCGGACTTATGATGGGCTCTCTGACCAGTATTCATACCTAAATAATGTACAGCGCTTGTCACAGCATTATGCCGGGTGAGTGCCCTGGCATAATGCTGTGATGAAAATCAAAGGCCTACTATACAGGAGGGTCTTTTTTCGTCAGTGCATTCTGCTGGGTAGCAGCTGTTAGCATGACATCACGGCCTGCTGCCGCACTTCACAGTGATTTCTCGTTGCTCATGTGTCTGCCATGGTGAGAGGAAGTGTACTTTTGTCTCTTATTTGCCTCATCTTTTGTCCAGTGTTCCCTTTGGTTTTGTATCTATATATCTTTGATTATGGGTAAAAGGAAGTCTTTAACACCTGAAACTATAGCTCAAATCATAGGGCTTCACAAAGCTGGGCACCAGACGAAAGAAATACTGTAGTGGAGAAAGTTGGTGTGTGTGTGTGTGTGTGTGTGTTCAGTGAGGAACGGGTGCAGCATTTCAAGGCTGGTGGCAGTGTCGAGTTTCTTTTTGGCTCCATTTTGTTACCCACACCCAGTCTGTTCATAGCATTTGTTCACTTCATGTCTCAGAGTTGTATTCTGGCAATTTTCAAAATTTTCATATGTTTTACTTGTGTTATTGTTATTTTTGTAATTATTAATTAGAGTACAATGGTCCCTAACTTCAGTGCTATTCTAAAGAAGAGTCGCAAGCCTCTTACTTTAAATTAAAAGCTAGAAATTATTAATCTTAGTGAGAAAGCCATGTCAAACACCAAGATAGTGTAAGAATGTTTTTAGGCTTTCATATGCAGTCGCAAGTGAGAAAAAGGCTGTGATTTGTTCGAAGACGATATTCACTTTATGGCAGTGGTCTGGAACCTAACCCACCATATTAGTAAGGTATACCTACACTAGAATCAGCCTGGGAAAATATCAAATAGCCAATAGTGTGTGGAGTGCTTTGAGGCAAACTGTTTCCCCAGTATGAACACACTGGGGGTCACAGTAGCCCTGTGTTGGTGTGTGTACCATCACAGGGCTACTTTATCCTATGTAAGCCTAACATTCCCAGTTGTGGCCATTTTGAGGGAGCTGGAATTTAAACGTGGCAGTGTTTGCACGTCCGTCAGTCATCGTGTGTATGGCAGATCAAAGGTTAAATCCAGTTACCCAACCAGCCAACTTGTCAGTTTGCACATTTTTGTAATTAGCTACTGTATTAGCTCCTTTTAACAGCAACTATTTTGTTTGCTAAAAATCTTAAAGGAATAAATTATATATTTATACGTGTTTCGTGTTTCTTAATGTAATATCTGTTTATTGTTTTCAGTACTCAAAGGTCCAAGAATAAATCTGCAGCAAGGAAGCATATTTTTAACAGGTAATACTCTGGAGATTTTTTATCCATTACAGTAGTCAGACAGGTACTGTCTAATATAAAATATGATAAATATGATTTTTTTTATGATAAATGTCTTTTTTTTTTTTTAACCACGTTAGCCTTCTTCCACCAACGTTGGGTGACCCACAACCTTAAAACATATTAGCTTTCCTTTATTCAGTAGGTATCTTGCTAGAAGCGCCATGACATCACGGTTTAAATTACCAGAACTGTGGCTTTCTTATTTCTTCAGAGTGCAGGGAACATTTGGTACTTCCTACCACCAGGCCTCAACTCTGGCTAACTGGCTTTTTCTGAATTTTTTTATAAATGTTGTCTTGCTCTCACTTGAACAGTATGTCAGATCCTACAAGCCACTTGTGTCCAGTCACTGTGATCTGACTGCTGGATGATCATACCTTTACCTCTTAACAGCCCCATCACTCCATTCCTCTAGCCCTTCATGGGATGACCCTTACCTCCTCTTCCTTATATCTTGGGTATGTTCACCTTGGATATTCTATTCTGCTCCATCCTCTCAAAGTGACCAAACCACTTCTCTCCTTTCTGAATTTTACCTTTTGTAATCCCCAAACTGTCTTCTAATTTTTATGCTCCTAATTCTTTGAATAGTATTCACATTTATTTATTATAAATTTGTGCACACATACAGAGGTACAAAAAAAATACAGATAAGAGCAGTATGCCAAAGCCACTTATACTATGCATAGCATTACGGGCTGGCTTAAAATTAACTTAAGATTAACTAAGCAATGATGAAGTCAGTGATAAAACATTAATGTAAACAGATTACTATAAAGCACAAGTGAGTATTACAAAGACAGGTCATATGAAGGATTCTGTTAGGTAGTGTATTTAAAAAATAATAAAGTTAGATTGGGTTTTAGGTTTAACATTTATGTGATATAATTGTGAGAAACATTTAAGATATAACAATTTATAAGGTTCAGTTATTCAGTATTTATTTGGTTTTGGGTGAGTAAGTGATCTTTGAGTAGAGACTTGAATTTATAAACAGGTAGTGTTTCTTTTATATTTACAGGTAATGAATTCCAGATTTTAGGGCCTTTTATGTGCATTGAGTTTTTGCATAGTGTGAGATGAACACGAGGAACATCAAAGAGTGATCTGTGCCTTGTGTTATGGTCATGTGTTCTGTTGAGGTTGGCAAGGAGATGTTTGAGGGGAGGGTTAATATCAGAGTTAAGTGTTCTATGTATGTAATAGGTGCAGTAATAAGTATGGATGTTTTGTATGGTGAGTAGGTTTAGTGTATTGAATATTGGTGGAGTGTGCTGCCTGTAGTGAGAATTTGTTATCATTCTAACTGCAGCCTTTTGTTGGGTAATTAGTGGTCTGAGATGGTTAACTGTTGTTGAGCCCCATGCACAAATTCCATAGGTGAGATAGGGGTAAATAAGAGAGTGATATAGGGCCAGGAGGGCTGACTGTGGAACATAGTACCGTATCTTCGATAGTATGCCTACAGTCTTGGAAATTTTCTTAGAAATTTGTTGTATATGTGTATGAAATTTGAGTCTATTATCAAGGTGGATTCTAAGAATTTTCCCTCTGTTAGCTTTGTGATAGGTGATCCGTTTATCATTATGTTAAGAGGGACATCTGTAGCTCTGTTACCAAACTGAATGAAGTAGGTTTTGTCAATGTTTAGTGTAAGTTTGTTAGTCCTCATCCAGGTAGATATTTTCTGTAATTCGGTATTTACAGTATTGGCTAGTGTGACTGGGCTCGGGTGAGAGAAGACGTATGTAGTGTCATCTGCAAATAGTGTGGGTTTGAGTAATTGCGAAGCATTTGGAAGGTCATTTATGTATAGGAGAAAGAGAAGAGGGCCAAGGACACTTCCCTGTGGGACACCAACTGTAATTGGTTGCGCAGAAGAGTTTGCCCCATTTGCGTACACATATTGGCTTCTGTTGCTGAGGTATGACTTGAGGTAATTGAGGGAGTGCCCTCTTATACCATAGTGTGACAATTTTACGTGGAGCAAGTCATGGTCAACTGTATCAAAAGCTTTACGTAAGTCAATGAGATCCCCAGTGGGACTTCTTTTTTTTCTATTGCAGTGTATATATGTTCTAGCATGTGTATAATAGCATCATTAGTATTTTTATTAGGCCTGAATCCAAATTGGCAGGGGTTGAGTATGTTTTGGGAGATAAGGTAGGAGTAGATTCGTTTGTGAATTAGTTTTTCAAAGATTTTTGAGAGAGGGTGTAAGTTGGATATTGGCCTATAGTTATTCAACTCTGTTTGGTCTCCTCCTTTGTGGATCGGGGTGACCCTTGCTATTTTGAGTACTGTAGGGAAGGTGGAGGATTCAATGGATTTGTTAAAGAGTGTTGTAATGATTGGAGATAGCACTTGTGACACTTTTTTATATATAAAGGGTGGTAAGGTACTTAAATCTCCTGCCTTGTTTTTTAGTGCATTGATAATAAGGGAGACTTCGTATGGGTTAGTCGGAGCTAGGAACAGTGTGTTCGGGTAGTTGCCGGTGAGGTAGTTATTTGGTGGGGTATCTGAGCTTGGGATTTTATGGGCAAGGTTTTGTCCTATAGTGGAGAAGAAATCATTGAGTCTGTTTGCTGTTTCTGTTGGTGGGAGTTGGGGTTCATCTGATTTTGCTAATTTTATTTCGCTATTTCGTGATATCTTTTTTGTTCCCAGAATTTCAGATAGTGTTTTCCAGGTCTTTTTTATATCACCTCGTAAGTTGGATAATCTGTTCTCATAATACAATTTTTTTGCCCTTCTTATCAGGCTGGTTAGGATTGACGAGTAACGTTTTGTTTGGTCTCTGGTTATGTGACCCATTCTGTACTGTTTTTCAATATTGGTGTTTTGTATTTATGATTTGAGAATGCTGGGTGTTAGCCAGGGACTGTTCAGTCTCTTTGCTGTCATCTGTTTAGTTTTTTTAGGGCAGTGCTTGTTATAGAGGTATTGGGTCTTTTTTAGAAAATTATTAATACATTCGTCAATATCTGTATAGATTTCTAGCTCAGTGTGCCAATCAATGTTTGCTAATGCTGTTGCGAAGTTATTAATGGCTGCCTCATGTGAAGTCTGAAGGTGACTTTAGTAGTGTCTTGGGGTAGTTTACCAAGAGTTGTTATGAGGAAAGTAGGGTAGTGGTCTGTGGTATTATCTGTAATTATGCCTGATTTTAAAGGGGATATGGTGTTGGTCCAGATGTGGTCAAGTAGGAAACACTAGTCTCTGTAACTCTTGTAGGTTTTGTTACTGTTGGTAGTAACATACAGTTACTCATTGTGTTTGTGAATTCAGTAAACGTGTGGGTCCTGGTCTTGCAGGAGATTTTATATTGAAGTCACCTGAGAGTAGTAAGTGATCTTTGTTCATGCGTGCATCAGTTATCATACTTCCTAGATTTTGACTAAATTGGCTAATGTTTGACTGTGGAACTCTGTAGATGTTTATCAATGTGAGAGGTTTTTGTAGGTATTTGGATTTGAATTTAGCTATTATATATTCCCCATGTTCATCCCTTGTGCAAGTATTAGTGATACATTCTAGTTGGTCTGAGTAGTATATGGCTGTGCCACCCCCTTGTTGGTCTGGCCTACAGTTGTGTATGGCTGTGTAACCAGGAATGGCATAGACATCTGTACTATCAGGCTTTAGCCAGGTTTCAGTTAGTGTAATGATGGACATATTGGCATGTAAGGAATTTAGTAATGCTATGAGGTCATCGTAATGCTTGCTTAAAGATCTGATATTGTAGTTAAAGATAGTTATGTTGTTGTTGTCACTGAGAAGTGCCTTTGATTGTTCTGCAGTGTAGTAATTACAGTAACTGTTTGATTCATACAAATTGCTTTCACATGGCAGCTCTACATGGAAATTTCATGACTATAATTTTATTTCATTTTATAATTCATGATTTCTTCTTCAGATAACTATGGAAAAACTTATTGAAGAATTACCATTGGAAGCATTCCCCAGTCAATTCTGGGGTGCAGTAAAAATATACACAGAGAAGCCACATATTATTAATCGCCGAATATGTGGAACAGTCAATTTATGGATTGGTGTGTCATATGAAAATTTCTCAAGAGAGAACATGTGCAGATCTCTTGGTGTAGTCCTTAGCCATGATTTTGACATCGAAGAGGACAAAAATCTACAAACCCAAGCTGCCAGTAGCACTGATAAATCAAAATGCGATTATGATGTTAAAAATGTAGAAACAATTTTCAGTACTTGCAGCAAAATGGAGCTTGCTCAAATAGAAGGCATTAAGAATATTCTCTGTAAATGTGGATTCAAGAATATGCAAGACATTGGTGCATCAGATTGCAATGAAAATGTGTCACCATGTGAGACAAGAGGAAATGAAGAAGATGAATGTAAGCAGTGTGGTGAATTTCAACTCCCCAGTAATAAAACTTTGAAAACTAGTCATCTTGGCATTCCATGGGAACACCTGTTAGACACCAAAACTTTAAAAATTGCTGTGATCAGGAGAGTACTGCCAAAGCATCTCAAGAAGTTCATTCCTCTTATAGAAGTTGTTCTCATTGGTAAGACTTTATTTTCACTTATATTCAGCCCAATCCAATATACATTGAAACTTAACATTACACTTAGTAATAATCATCTACTGGCCTGGTAATAAATTTCATTTCTGAATATCAAAGCATGGTCATCAATATTCACAATTTAAATACTTTAGATAATAACACGATGAAAATTAGACACATGCAGCATCTGGATATCTTTAATGTAGACGTTTCGCCATCCAGTGGCTTTGTCAATACAAATTCTAGGACATAATTTGAAGACGGTAGAACTATATACAAAAGCTGAGGTAATCAGTTGGTGTGAAGAGCACCATAGTTGTAAGAATTTGATTCTTCACGACTATGGTGCTCTTCACACCAACTCTAAGGCTGAGGGGCTGATTACCTCATCTTTTGTATATGGTTCTACTGTCTTCAAATTATGTCTTAGAATTTGTATGATAAAGCCACACTGGATGGCGAAACATCTACATTAATGATACCCAGATGTTGTATATGTGTCTAATTTCATCTTGTCTTTTAATGTTTAACCAAGCATGTACTACAGATAATAATATATTCTTGGTTGTGTTTTTACAGATTTTGTTCTTCTTGGAAACAAAAATTGTCAGGTGGCACAGTGTTGATTAAAAGTAAAGCTTCTTTTTTCTGAACTACATGATTTTGGCCACATATTGCCCAAATATTTTATTCATAATTTTTCACTAAATGAAAGTAAAGAGCTTACTGTACAGTAGACCCCTGTTTTTGTAATTAATCTTTTCCAAAAGGGTTTGGGCCCAAAAAATCTGAAATGGCCAAAAACCCGAAGTAATATTTTCCCTAAGAAACAATGTAAATCCAATTAATCGTTTCAGACACTCAAAAATGTTAACAAAAAATATATTTTATAGGAATAACTATAGTTTTACATACAGAAAGCAATGAGAAATAAATATAAATGACTAAGTACACGTATTTATTTGTAGTCCCAGGTGGACTACATCCCAGGTGTTTACCTACTGGCTACTTTACACTGCGGCTACAGCCATATTATTACCATCAACATACCATGTTCATTGAGTTTAATTGTTTCTATCAACTACCTTTAGCCCTTTGACTGTCGCAAGCCCCTTTCTGAAACTGTCATTCTATGTCGCAAAGTTTTTGGAAAAAAAAAAATTATTTTTTATGAAATGATAGACAATCTTTTCCGATGGTTTAAAGACACCAAAAGTACAAAAACTCACAGAATACGTCCCGCGAAGTTAGTGGTCTCGGCGACATATACGCATCGGCAATTTTGCCAAATTTTTAAACCATGTTTTTGGCCAATTCGTTTTCCAGTTGAACCAAACTCATTTGCTATTTTTTAGAACTCCATTTTGTCTATCAGTTGAGTACAAGAAACCACCCATTTACCTATTTGAACTACCCAATAAAGTGGTTAGAAATTGGCAATTTGGCTAATTTCACACAAATTAAAAAGGATGCCAATTTCAAAATAGGGTCCAGAATAACAATGTAGTCATTCTTTGCACTAAAATAACATATCCCCTGTTCATTTGTCACATCTCTAGGTCCCTCTTATATTACTATTGCATTCTATTTGATTTTTTTATTCATAAAAAAAAATACAAAATTTACCATTATGCAGACTACTGCATTATTGTAAAAATGGTTTTAATAATATCAGTGCACTAGTGAAGAATATTAGACTCCCGTTGACGTGTATTGGGGCGTGCGGTATAATTTGCTTATCTGAACATTGGTAAAAATCCAACCTTTCTGTAATTTGAGCTCAATTTCAAGGTCGTTTTCAAAAGTGAAAGTAATGAAAATATCTCAATTTCTGTAATATGTTTTCCATTTTATCACCTGAGACCATGAAAAGGAGAATACAACGATAAATACCATACGAAAATACACCTCAGAGTTTTTTTTCTCATTATGCACTGCATGCTGCAGGGTTTTTTTCATTTGGTGCACACGGGCCACACAGAACCATTCTCTCACATGTGGGCCTACCAGCTTTCTCCTGCTTGATTTGAAGTCGCTAGAATTTACACGTTTAAATGTCAGAAACAGTGGCGCGTAAGACGTATATATACGACGTAAACAGTCAAATGGTTAAATGCCATCATAAACAAAGGGAAAAATAATGAATAATTCATGCCGAAAATTGTAAACAAGAGCTTATGTATTAAAACCCCTTTTACTGTTTTGGTCGTATATATACGTCTTACGAGGTACGTGTTTGACACATACAGTGGTCCCTGTTCGTAATTAATCCATTCCTGGAGCCGTTACTATAAACGAAATTTACGATTTACAACTCAATTTTTCCCCATAAGAAATAATGTAAATACAATTATCCATTCCTGACACCCAGAAGTATTAAAACAAAAAAATTTTAACATGAAATATACATTTTAGTACATAAACAATACAATGGGAAATGTGAATGAAACATTAACAGCATAACACTTACCTTTATTGGAGATTCTTCTTAGTGTATGGGAGACTGGAGGAGGAGAAAAGTGTGGATTGTTTATAGTTTGGGAAGGGGAATCCCCTTCATCAACACCTCAGGTACCATTTGCTTTCTTTGGGGGTTTTTTTCTCTTCTCTGTTTCTTAATGCCACTAGGACCACCTTGAGAGTCACTGGAGTCCTGTCTCGCAAAATAATGTGGAGAGAGCTCTGTTTCGGCATCTCTTTAACACTTCCCTAAAATGGCCCAAGACTGTCACTGTACATGTTGCCAACCTGGCTTGCAACAACCTTGTTAGGGTGATGTTTCTCCATTTAAAACTTTCCATCTTACCCACATAGTAAAAATCTCTTTAATTCTGAAGAAGGCCACCTTCTTCCATTTTCTCTTCCTCCTCCTCTGCAGCAAGATTTGAGCTGCGATGTGTTGCTCTTCCTGCTGAAGCTCTTGCAGCTCCTCAGTGGTGAGCTCTTCATTGTGGTCTTCCACCCAAATTTTTCCACATCCTCCAAAAATCACATCCAAACCCCCTGGAATCCCCAGTGCCACAAATTTATTTTACAACAGACATAGGCTCATTAGGGTCGTCCCAAATTCCTTCAAAATTCCTCTTGTTGACCAATCTGGCCACAATTTTCTCCAGGCAGAGTTCAAAGTCTGGTAGTCACTCCCCCCCAAGCCATACCTATAAGGGTTATGCAGGGGGGGATGCTGGAAGTGTTCTCTCCAAAATTCCCTTAGGGGCAAGTGAGTGTCTGTGGTCACGTCAAAACCTGTGAAACATTGCTTTTGTGTAGAGTTTTTTTAAAGTTGCAATAACCTGTGGTCCATGGGTTGGAGGAAAAGTTTGGGATTCGGGGGCAGGGAAAATTTACTGTGATGAACCCAAACTCCTCGGGAAAAATTTGGTCATCCCAAATTTGGAGGATGAGCAGGGTGCATTGTCCATTTCTGCACGCACTTGAGATCCAATTTCTTTTCAGGAGATACTCCTTCACACTAGGGCCAAATACTTCATTGAACCACTGACGAAATTTTTCCCTTGTAATCCATGCCTTACTGTTAGATTTCCAAAAACACACAAATTTTTCTCTTCATAACATTGTTTTTCCTGAACACTCTGGGATTTTCAGATGGTACACTAGTAATGGCTTCACTTTGAAATCCCCATAGCTTTTCACAGAACATTAGCATCAGCCTGTCTTTCATAGGCTTGTGTCCTGGCATTGCCTTTTCCTCTTGTGTAAAGAAGGTTTCTTTTGGTATTTTCTTCCAAAAGAGGGGCCCGTTTTGTCACAATTGAAACTTTTTCAGGTTTCAGTCCTTCATGTTTATGTACTCCTGGAATTCATGCACATATTTTTCAGCCGCCTTGTGGTTCGAAATGGCAGCCTCACCATGCCTTACCACACTGTGTATGCCAGTACGGTTCTTAAATCTCTCAAACCAGCCTTTGCTGGCCTTAAATTCACTCACTTCACCACTATTTGCAGGCAATTTCTTTACCAAATTTTTCATGCAACTGCCTAGCCTTTTCACAAATAAAAGAAGTCATAAGAGTATCTCCCGCTAATTGTTTCTCATTTATCCACACCAATAATAACTTCTCAGCCTCTTCCAGTACTGGTGATCTCATTTTTGTCAGCATAGTTACTCCCTTTGCAACAACAGCATCCTTTATTTCATTTTTCTTGGCCATATGGAACATAAGGTTGTGTTAGGGTTTCTTATACATCCTGGACAGTTCGGCCACACTTGTACCACTTTCATATTGTTCAATGATGGTTTTCTTAAATTCAATCGTATTTCTCACCTTCTTTACCACAGGCTTGGCACTAGGAGCTTTCTTTGGAGCCATGGTAGCTTATTTAGTACTTGCAAGCACTAAAATAAATGGAATATTATGAAATATTTCTTAGGAGCACGTGAGGGGGACCTTCGCTCACTGGTAAATAATGCCAGACTGGCTGCCGCCCTGGCTCATGCCGTGGGTACGCGTCCCGGACGAACTACGACTCGCGAGTCAACCTATGAAAAGCGAGTCCATGTTTATACGAAAATACCCCTATGATTGGCGAATTTTACGATTGCCGGGAACTACGAAAAGCGGGGGACCACTGTATATACTCATAAATTCTAGCGGCTTCAAATCAAGCAGGAGAAAGCTGGTAGGCCCACATGTGATAGAATAGGTCTGTGTGGTCAGTGTGCACCTTATAAAAAAAAAATCCTGGAGCATGCAGTGCATAATGAGAAAAATAAAACTCCGACCGTTTTTTTAATTAAAATGCCGAATTTGTTATCTATTTTCATATAGTATTAATGATTCTATTCTCTTTTTCTTGGTCTCATTTGATAGAATGGAAAACATATTATAGAAATAGGGGTGATTGTGATTGGTTTTACTATAAAAAGAACCTGGAAATGGAGCTCAAATAGGTAAAATGTTTGATTTTTGCCGATGTACAAAAGTAAACAAATGATGTCATTGTCCAATAAATGTCCAACTAGCCATTCTAATATGCAGTCATGAATGGGTTGACATTATTTGTACAATTATTACAATATTGCAGTAGTCTGCATAACAGTAAATCTTCTATTTTTTGTTTGAATAAAAATTCAAAGTAGAAAGCAAGAGTAATGTCAGAGGGGCCTGGAGACGTGACTGATGAACAAAGAAAATGTTATTTTAGAGCCAGGAATGTCTGCATTGTTTATTCTGGACCTTATTTTGAAATTGTCATATTTTTAATTTTCGTGAAATTGGCGAAATTGCAAATTTCTGACCACGTTATTGGGTAGTTGAAATCGCTAAATGGGCAGTTTCTTGTACTTAATCGATAGAAAAAATGGAGTTCTAAAGAAATAGCTATGAGTTTGGTCGACTGGAACAATGGAATTAGCCGAAAATAGGGCTCAAATTGGGCAAAATCGCCGATTTGTAAATATAGCCAAGGTCGCTAACTTTGCGAGAGCGTAATTCCATCAGTTTTCCATCAAATTTCGATTTTTTGGTGTCATTACAAAAAATGGGAAAAAATTCTCAATCATTTCATAAGAAAATTTTTTTTTTTCTTTTTTGAAATTTTGCGACACCAGGAGACACCTCAGGATTGGGGGTTGCGATAGTCAAGGGGTTAAGGGCAGTTACTGGGCCAACGCAGATTCATACAGTTTTCTCTAACGCTGGACCAGAGAAAATGTAATGTTTACCTTCCACCGCATATAAACATTCCATGTTTATATGCTATGTAACGTGTTTCTCACATAATTTTGAAGAAAATATCAGATGGATTAGTGAAAATGTCTATATTAATCTAAAATAAGACATTTAACCCTTTCAGGGTCCGTCCCGTAGATCTACGGCTTTACGTTCAGGGTCCAAACCGTAGATCTACGCCATGAGCTCAGCTCACTCTGATAAACTGTGAGTGGTACATTTGGGCCTAGATATGAGAGAATACATCTATGTGGTATGTGTGCACCACATAAAACAGATCCTGCAGCACACTGTGTATAATGAGAGAAAAAAAATGAAATCATGATTTTTCGATTAAAACAGCAACTTTGCAGTGTTTTTTCGTATGTTTTTTATAGTTGTATTTGCGATTTCTTGGTCTCATTTGATAGAATGGAAGACATATTACAGAAATAGAGATGATTTTGATTGGTTTTAGCACTGGAAATGGCTTGAAACTGAGCTCAAATTAGCAGAAATGTTAAATTTTTGCCGATATTCAAGAGTAAACAAACGACCTCACACGTCTAATACACGTCAGCTGGTGGGTCTAATATACATTCACAAATATAGTGATGATATTTGATGATATTTATACAATTATTACAGTATTGCATAACAGTAAATCTTCTATTTTTTGGTGTAAATAAAAATTCATTATGTGAATAAAAAATCAAAATGGAATTTATTTTTTAAAGCCTCAAAACATAACTAATGAACAGAGGAAATGTTAGTTTAGTGCCAGGAATGCCTACATTGTTCATTCTGGCCCCTATTTTGAAATTGGAATATTTTGAACTTTGTGTTAAATTGGCCAAATTAACAATTTCCGATCACTTTATTTTGTAGTTGAAACAGTTGACTTGGCGATTTCTTGTGCTCAATCGATAGAATAGAAGTAATACTAGTGAAATAGCTAAGAATTTGGTTGATTGGAATAATGTAATTGGCCTAAAATGGGAGTCAAAGTCGGCAAAATCGCCGATTCGTAAATATCGCTGACACATCAAAATTCGCGAGAGCATAATTTCGTCAATTTTCCACCAAATTTCGTACTTTTTGTTTTATTACCTTCACAAAATGATTTTCTACGATTTCATAAGAAAAAATAAAAAAAATTTTTTTTTTTTAAATTCTTGGACACTGGTGCGTGACTCCAGATTTGGGCCTTGGACCCTTAAAGGGTTAATGTGCCCAAGAGTGAGTCACGAATGTATGAGTGGCCCAGGCACACGCGTCTAATGATGTCTGAGCAGATGTACGACACCTGGGGAAAAATTTCACCAAAAAATGCTTGAAATCCGAATTGTATGATTTCCACACTGGCTGAAAACCAGGGGTCCACTGTCTAATGCTAATGTGTGGCATAAATATTATGCAGAGAATTCGAAGTGTGGAAATTAGGAGAAGGTGTGGAGTTAATAAAAGTATTAGTCAGAGGGCTGAAGAGGGGTTGTTGAGGTGGTTTGGTCATTTAGAGAGAATGGATCAAGGAGAGCATATAAATCATGGAGAGAGTATAAATCTGCAGGGGAAGGAAGGAAGGCAGGGTAGGGGTCGTCCTTGAAAAGGTTGGAGGGAGGGGGTAGAGGAGGTTTTGTGGGCGAGGGGCTTGGACTTCCAGCAAGTGTGCATGAGCGTGTTATATAGGAGTGAATGGAGATGAATGGTTTTTGGGACCTGACGAGCTGTTGGAGTGTGAGCAGAGTAATATTTAGTGAAGGGATTCAGGGAAACCGGTTATTTTTATATAGCCGGACTTGAGTTCTGGAAATGGGAAGTACAATGCCTGCACTTTAAAGGAGGGGTTTGTGATATTGGCAGTTTGGTGGGATGTGTAATAAGACGGTATATATATAATTGGGGCCCTGATATTGTAATTTTTTCAGGTCACTTTTTATATTGTATCTTTATATATGCTTCTAAACTGTTGTATCTGGGTGCCTCTGCAAAAACAGTGATTATGTATGAGTGAGGTGAAAGTGTTGTTTTGGGGATTTTCTTTCTTTTCGGGTCACCCTGCCTAGGTGGGAGACGGCCGACTTGTTGAAAAAAAAAAAAAGAAAAAAAATATATATACATGTTATCAGGCTTTTAAATGTGTTTGAAAGTGAAAAAATCTGTTTCATTTTACAGCAATTTTGGGTTTGCAGCAGTAGCCAGGAACCTAACCTGCTGTATAAGCAGGGCACTCCTGTATAGTATTCTCACTTTTTTAATCATGCCTTCAGTGTCCTAACATGCTTTTTCTCTTCCTTTCAAGCTGACAATCCCTTTCTATATTGATTCACTTTGTACAATATTTGTTTTTGTAGGAAACATTAATTTATTCCATTTTAGATAAAATTTTATGTTTATCTTGACACACGTGCAAAATATACAGTGAGTTACATGAAATTCATTTGTCAGTTTCTCTAAAATATTGGGGAGTGTTACTGACAGTTACTTCACTTCTTTTGATCTTTTCTAAAGATAGAGATGGGGAGAGTGTCAGCTACTTGGCTGGGTCAGGTGGCAGTGGCCCCAGTGTGGTCCCACGCACCAACTACTCATTTACTTTTACCACCCATGGGATTCGTCTCTCATTTTTTGAGGGTAAGTAATAAAGTGTTTTGTGGTTCACATTTTTATATATTGCCTTGAGGGCTTTTGTTTATTTTTAATGCTTTAAGATAATGTGTGTAGACTGCTATCGTATCTAGCTGTATTTCTGTTAATGCAATAATGTAATTTCTAATATGTATAGTATTTCAAATAGGTAATTACTTGTAGAAATAAAGCATTATGTGAAGGCAAATTCACTCATATCTAACCCTGATAAAGCAAGAGATCTTGTACAGTTCTTTCTTGTCAGTATTCATTACTGTAGTGCAATAGTTGCCTTACTTATAAAAGTGGTAAATCTGTGTAGGTATTCAGTACAGTGGAACCTCGAGTTTTGGGTGCCCCAAGTTTCAGCCGTTTTGAGTTTCACTTTTTTTGCCTGAATTTTGTCCTGAGTTTCGAACAGTACCTTGAGTTTCGGCTACCGTACCAGACCTGTCCGCCTGCCCGTGCCTGCCCATGCCTACACAAAGCATCCTGGCTTTGCTTTTCCTCGAATGAGCGTTACCCTGCCCGTTCATTCAAACATTTCACAATAATCCATTTTTTTTGTGCTTGTTGATTGAGTGCGACTGCTACATAATTAACCATGGGCCCAAAGAAACTTCATAGTGCCAGCCCTTTAGTTAAGAAAGTGAGAAACATGATAGAATTGAAGAAAGGAGATTTGTGCAATGTGGAGTAGGGTGCAAGCTTTAGCTGAGAAATATCACCCTGAGCAAGCTGAAACAAGCCATCTCTGCAACATGTTAAGTGACAAAACCATGTCCCATTTAAGACAAATGCTAAAGAGATGCCAGAAACAGAGCTCTCTGGACAGTTTTTTTGTGTGACAGGGGCCCAGTGACTCTCAAGCTGGTCCTAGTGCCAGTAAAAGACAAAGAAGGGAAGTAGCCCCAGATAGGGCTTTGATACCTGAAGTCTTTATGGTGGGGGATTCTCCCTTCCAAGAGTCTTCGATAAAGGTATGTAAATGTGATTTTAAATGTTTATTTATCTATTTCATTAGTCATTTAAGTACTATATGTATTTATAATTGTTGTGTATTTATAGATATTCTTTAAAAATGTATTTTTTTTCTAACATTTTTGGGTGTCTGGAATGGATTAATTGGATTTACATTATTTCTTATGGGAAATATTGCTGTGACTTTCAAACAATTTGAGTTTTGGCTGAGCTTCTGGAACGGATTACTCCCGAAACTTTAGGTTCCACTGTGCTTCATTGCATTGACTTGCTGAGGAACAGCAGAAGTGTGGAGGATAAACAAAGATGAGAGAAGGAATTAGTTAAGAGTTGGTGAAGTAAATCAGTTTTAAGAAGTCATGGAGTGAATTTGTATTAAAGGTGGGACTTACAGAGAGAAGGGCAGACAGAGTAAGTAATGCAGGGCATTGCTGCAGATTTTGAAAAGGAAATCAGTGTGTTGCTGATAAACAGGACAATCTCTCAAATAGTGTTGAATTCTCAGTTTGGAGCTGGGCACCTCTCTAAAAGAGGTTGAAGAATAAGTCTTGTATGCCCAACAAGTAGTAAACCTATAAGCCTCATCAGCCTGTGGAGGTGCTACCATAATGGGAAGGGAAATATGAAAGTCTGTCATTGTCAGCTGTCTTGCTACAGCATCACTTGAGAACTTACTCTGTGTTTTCCACTCCTCTGTTGACAGTACAGTACCACTTCACTCTGTCTTGTTTTTCTTTATTTAACCCCTTGACTGTCGCAACCCCCAATCCTGAGGTGTCTCCTGGTGTCGCAAAATTTAAAAAAAAAATATATATATTTTCCTATGAAATGATAGAGAATCTTTTCCCGATTGTAATGACACCAAAAAAACGAAATTTGATGGAAAACTGACGGAATTATGCTCTCACGAAGTTAGCGACCTCAGCGATATTTACAAATCGGCGATTTCGCCCACTTTGAGCCCTTTTTTCGGCTAATTTCATTGTTCCAGTCGACCAAACTCGTAGCTATTTCTTTAGAACTCCATTTTTTCTATCGATTGAGTACAAGAAACTGCCCATTTACTGATTTCAACTACCCAGTAATGTGGTCAGAAATTTGCAATTTGGCCAATTTCACGAAAATTAAAAAGTATGACAATTTCAAAATAAGGTCCAGAATGAACAATGCAGACATTCCTGGCTCTAAAATAACATTTTCTTAGTTCATCAGTCATGTCTCCAGGCCCCTCTGATATTACTCTTGCTTTCTATTTTGAATTTTTATTCAAACAAAAAATAGAAGACTTGCTATTATGCAGACTACTGCAATACTGTAATAATTGTATAAATAACATCAACCCATTCATGACTGCATATTAGAATGGCTAGTTGGACATTTATTGGACAATGACATCATTTGTTTACTTTTGAACATTGGCAAAAATCAAACATTTCCCCTAATTTGAGCTCCATTTCCAGGTTCTTCTTATAGTGAAATCAGTCAAAATCACCTCTATTTCTATAATATGTTTTCCATTCTATCAAATGAAATGAAGAAAATGAGAATACAACCATAAATACTATACGAAAATAGACCACAATGTCGGCATTTTAATTAAAAAAAACGGTTGGAGTTTTTTTTTTCTCATTATGCACTGCGTGCTCCAGGATTTTTTTTATATGGTGCACACTGACCACACAGACCCATTCTCTCACATGTGGGCCTACCAGCTTTCTCCTGCTTGATTTGAAGCCGCTAGAATTTATGAGTATATATACGTCAAACACGGTACCTCGTAAGCCCGTATATAAAATGGCCGCGACAGTCAAGGGTTAACCTCTTATTAACTTTGACTTTTCTTAGTATAACATAAATGGTGCTGTATAGAAAACATGGGTTTTTGTGCATTATTGTCAATATACTGTAACAAATAAAAATTTGGGCCCTTTTTCATTATTTAATGCTTGCTTTATCTTTTATCATAATGTTTCTTTTTTCTCATCACATGTGCTGGCTGAGTGTAATTTCACTATGCTCACATAGTCTTAAGTCCAATCAAATGGTGACTATTGTGCTTCACTTAAATATTACCCAAACCTTTCATTTACGAAAGTTAAAGTCTCTGAAACCTTTGCAGATGTTTGAATTATCTGGAGAAGCCTCTGCTGGTGATTGCTGCATCAAAACTAGGGAGTTCCGAGAGTATTAGGTTTCTAGTATAGATAGATAAGTATCATATTACTATGGCCTTAGTCTTACTTTTCTTTGATGATGGGAGTACGTCTCCCGAAGTTTGTGCTGGTGTTGTCTGGGTGCAGAAAACATTTACCCAAGTTGATTAAATGGAGCTGAGTATAGAAGATGGAAAAGTGGAGGACAGAGGATCCTTAAAGCTTGTAAACATTTAAGAATTTTAACCAGTTATATCAGCAACTGAAGATTTAAATATGGCAAGCCATTGGTTAAGGTGACTATTTTATGTTTTGTTCTTTAGTGCAACCAGTGATGTAGTTTGGTTGGTAGACAACCACTGTTCAGGGAGACAGTGCCTCTGTTGCGAGTGTGTAACACAGCGTCCATCCAGGAAAGTAGGACCAGCTATCATGAGTGTGCAATGAAAGCCTATTACATATTTGGTACTTTACTGCAACCAATGTTTTATCTAAAGTTATTTTTCATCATTTTTGCCTTTCAGTATTTTTTGAAAATTTGCAGTTTTTTTGCAAACAGTTATTGAATATTCTAACATTCAGATGTACAGATCTGTCTTGCAAAAAAATAATTTTGCTTTACTGATTGGTATATATGTTTATAAAAAGTAAATTTGCCTTAATATTCAAATATTTTAACATAGCAAAGTGTATGGTAGTAGATTAATTATGCTGTACAATTTTTAATCAGTGAAGTGATTGGCCTGGATAACCTTTGTTAAACACCATGCAGAAAATAAAAACACTAATATGCGATAGATTGAAATGTGCAATACATATAATAAAAATGACACTAAATGAGTGGAGTTACATATCATGTTTGTCTTGCAATTAGCAGATGGAGTCTCAAGCCTCTATCTGTACCTTACTTCCTTTTGCCTTCAACTAGGCCTTCTAGTTGATGGCTTGGTCAGTTAAGTTGTTGCTGCATACAGTTCAACAGGTAGCATTAGCATACAATTTTTCAATACAGCCAATAACTGTTGCTTCAAATCAGGATTCCAGTCACTGTATGGCATTGCTGTCACACAGTATTGAGCCCCACAGAGGTAACATATAGTTTTCAAATATGATATCTTTGGAAATTTATAGCTGGTCTATACAAATTTTGACTGTGAATTAGTTTGTTAATTAAAATAATGGGGATAAAGAGGAGCAGTTAGTTACACTGGTGTGAGGGCTACTTTGATTATTATATTCTACAGTATCTTTGAATAATAATATATTGTCCAGTTTCAAGCATTTGTTTGATTCAAAGTGCATTTTAGTAATATATACTGAGATTACCTATTTATAGTTGCAGAAGCAGAGCTATTTTGTGGTATTCCATCTTCAGTTTTTACTTTGTCATATGATTTTACTAAATTTCCAGTGGTAGTACCTATGATACTACCTCCACCTGGTTGTCATTCTGGCAGTCTAACACTATTTGTAAAGAATTACTTTTTGCACTTTTTTCTTCTAAGTTTTCAATTGTGTCCTCTTATTTTCCCTGTAGAATGTGCCAACAGATTGTGGACTCTTTCCTGTGGAGAGTGGATAAAAAACTGTGGCTTCTTTTTCTCCCTTTAGAAAGTTCTAACCAATTAGGGCCTCTTTTACTTCCTGTGGAAGGTGTCAACAAATTATGATTTCTTGTTTTCACTGTGGAAGGTGCTAACCAATAAGTTGTGTTATCTTGTTCTCTCTGAGGAAAGTACCATCAAATTGTGGCCTTTTGTCTATGTGGAAGGTGCCAACAAATTGTGGGATTTTTGTCTTCCCATGGAAGGTTCCAGCAAACTGTGGGATTTTATTTTCCCATGGAAGGTATCAACAAATTGTGGGATCTTGTTCCTCCGGTGGAAGGTACCAACAAATTGTGGGACCTTGTTCTTAATGTGGAAGGTGCCAGCATATATCATGTTTCCTCTTTCTGTCTTTGCCAGTGAAGGCTTTTTCAGCATTAGCTCTGGCACCCATTTTCTAAGCATATCTTTGGATTTTACTTTATATGTATAGAGTTTTTCTTAGTTTTTCTTTTCAAGCTACTTCTGCATATTCCCATTTTCATTGAACATACACTTGGATAGCATTTTAATCATGCCACTATCCATATACTTGAAGACTAATTTGTAGTTTGCAAGTTTAAAATCTTCTTCTTTCAACAAACCGGCCGTAACCCATCGAAGTATGGTAGCCCAAAGAGAAAAATAAGCTTCTGTTTTTAACCTTTAGTAATGTATACAGGAGAAGGGGTTACCAGCACCTTACTCCCGGCATATTAGTCACTTCTTATTACATGTATAGCGTACGGAGGAAGAATTCTGTTCCACTTCCCCGTGGAGATAAGAGGAAATAAACAAGAACAAGAACTAGTAAGAAAATAGAAGAAAAGCAAGGGAGGTGTGTATATACAGTAAACCCTCATTTACCATGAGTTTATTTGGCACAATTTGGGTATAGCACGATTGAAGAATTGCGGCACAATTTTATGTAACACATTGTAAAATTAATTTAACACGGTTCAGTTTGCAGGAAGGAAAAAAAATTCCCTTTTCCTTCAAGCGGTCCCCCTTGTTGTGAATCAACCGGGAAAACCTCCTGCCATCCCCTGTCACCCCCCGACACCACCCCACCATCCCAGAATTTGTATTTCACATGTGTCCAGTCTCTTCTCTGCTAAAAGCTAACTGTGTTTGTGAATTGTGTTTTGATCTTTCAATTACTATATCTTGTATCTGCCAAGCAATCATGACACCCAGCAGGCATACCAGTGTTGCTGAAAGTGGCAGGAAAAGGTATAAGCATTTAGTCTTAGAATTAATAAAGAAAACGATGATATTAGACAAGAGATAACTTTAATTAAGTGTTACTTTGTACACATAAAAAGAGGTAAACATGAGTTTGTGTGGCTGACTGACTGAATGACTGACTTACTGAATGACTGACTTACTGACTTGACTGAATGACTTACTGACTTGACTGAATGACTTGACTGACTTGACTGAATGACTTATTGACTTGACTGAATGACTTACTGATTTGACTGAATGACTTGACTGACTTACTGACATGACTGAATGACTTACTGACATGACTGAATGATTTGACCGACTGACTGAATGACTAACTGGCTTGACGGAATGACTTGACTGAATGACTTGACTGACTGACTGAATGACATAGACACTCCAGCACAACCATTGACCAGTAAGGCCACAGCATAACTCTCCACTCTCTTCACAATCATCCAAAAACACCAGCACCCACAATTTAAGGTAAGAAATACTATTATTTCTGTTACATTTGTAGTCTTAACCAGTAAAAACAACATAATACATCACAACAATGAACTATAATTCCATATTCACTTTTATTTTTGTAAGATGTGGAGGCCTTAAAAAAAAGTTTGGCTGTTTTGGGGCACTTAGGAACGTAACCCTATTTTTCCCATAAGTTCTTCAGTTCATCTGTCACGGTTTTACCTCACACACCATTTTCAGGAACGTAACTACCGTGTTAACCCTTTAACTGTCCAAACGTAGATCTACGTTTGCTTGCGTAGCGCTCCGAACGTAGATCTACTTTTTTTTACATTCTTACGGAGAAAATCAAGGGTGGAGTGCTACGTGTGCAAACTACATAGATCTACGTTTGGACAGTTTAAGGGTTAAATGACGGTCTACTGTATATATATATATGCTTGTACATACAAGTGCAGTGTGATTTAAGTGTAAGTAGAAGTAGCAAGACATACCTGAAATCTTGCATGTTAATGAGACAGAAAAGGACACCAGCAGTCCTACCATCATGTAAAACAATTACAGGCTTCTGTTTTACACTCACTAGGTAGGATGGTAGTACCTCCCTGGGCAGTTGCTGTCTACCAACCTACTACCTAGGCTAGTTTAAAATATTGGATCTAAATGGCATTTTGCCAACAGTAGAAAAGAAACAATGTGCTACAGAGGAAACTGTTATATGTACAGCATTTTCTTTGTAATTAGTCAATCTTATTTGTGTTTCTCTTTTTTTTTTTTTTTGCCAAGTTATCCTTTGCCACTTACGTTATCTAAAGCAGAATATGATTATTATGTTTTCTGAAAGTGTCTTTTAGTTTTTACTTAGCAACAAGATTCTAGGTGAGTGAGGATTTGCATAAAAAAGCAAAGCCAAGTGGGAAAACAGACTCGAATCAAGAAGGCTCAGATAAGAATGGAGAAAGGTAACAAATGAATGTATACTGAAACAAACACTCAGAAAATTTAATATGAACACTGAAGAATTAAAAATGTATTTGTTTATGGAAACTGAGTAAATATATAGTAGATGACCAAGTGGTGGTGCAGTGTGAGTTCATGTAAAAATTATGCCTTGCTTCCCTTATGCGCGTAAAGGAGGGTCACATTTATACAGCATGTTAGGTTCCGGGCTACTGCTGTAAAGCAAAAATCAGTGTAAATTGAAACAGCTTTTTTCATTTTCAAATGCATGTAGAAGCCTGATAACATGTTTACACTATCATATATTAAGGGAACAATAGAGCTAGGCCTAAAAAATGCATACACAGTCACATATTACTTACCTTAAAATATTTTCGTCCTTAGCTTATAGAGAGTGGTGAATATATTGATTGTAGGATGTCTGAATAAATGAAGAATGGGTATAACTGAAAACTGCTGCTTTAGTGAAACTGTAAAGTGAAGTGATGTAAAGCCAGGCCCTCCTGTATAAATAATGGTAACTAATGCCACTTAGACAGCTTAATTAAAAATTACACTACTGAATATTGTGCAACACCTTCATAAATTTTTACCATATTATTAATTTGGTATGATTACAAAATTGACATGTTGTTTTCTCTTATCTTTTAATGGAGAACATAGCTGAGCTATATTATATATTTTTGATTGCAGATGTGGCCAGAGACAACAGATCCTCTTAAGCATGTGTATGAGGATATTGCCATTGCCACCTATTTGATTTTAATTTGGCAGCAAGAGAGAAAAAAGAAGCAACTTACTTCTTATCAAACTTTTGTTGACTTAGGATGTGGTAATGGTCTTCTTGTCTACATCTTGTCAAGTGAAGGGCATCAAGGGCTTGGAATAGACATCAAAAAACGTCATATATGGGATACATTTCCCAAGCACATCCAATTGAAGGTAGTGAAAAGCATACATTGTAGGCAGTAATGAGATAAATTCTGTCGTTATTACAGATTAGAAACTGTAATGAATTCTGTTGCTCTAGTAATTAAATTTTCAGTTTTGGTGCCATACCTATTCAAAAGCAAAATAACTTTATTTTTTAATAATACAATAGTGAATAATACATAGTTATACATAAGTGCATACACCATTAGTGTAAATTTATATTGACATTTTCTTCTTTCAGCAAACTGGCCATGTCTCACCAAAGAAGGGTGGCCCAAAAAGAAAAACAAGAGTTTCTCTTTTTAACTTAAGTAATGTATACACGAAAAGGGATTACTAACCCCTTACTCCCGGCATGTTAGTTGCTTCTTACAACACGCATGGCTTACGGAGGAAGAATTCTGTTTCACTTCCCCATGGAGATAAGAGGAAATAAAGATGAATAAGAACTAGTAAGAAAATAGAAGAAAACCCAAAGGGGTGTGTACATATATGCTTGTACATGCATGTATTGTATGACCTAAGTGTAAGTAGAAGTAGCAAGAAGTACCTGAAATCTTGCATGTTTATGAAACAGAAAAAAAAACACTAGCAGTCCTTCCATCATGTAAAACAATTACAGGCTTCCATGTTACACTCAATTGGCAGGACGGCAGTACCTCCCTGGGCAGTTGATGTCTGTCAACCTACTACCTAGGATTGACATTTTCTAGTGTTTATTATTAGCAAAAAATTGTACAACTGAAACATTTTTAATATTAATTTACGTGCATTGTTTTAGCTGAATATGGTTTCAGTAGAAGAAATGTTTCTATTAAAACAAAGTAAATAAATTATGAACCCAAAAATGTTTTATAGAGTTAAAAATTTTGACAAAATTTAATATCTAAGCATCTTTCCTGTGCACGTTAACATTAAATTTGGTTTCACTGGTACATTTTCTAATGGGTCTCTGAACATTACAGAATTTACCAATAGAGTGATGAAGCCTACTGTGCAGGCCTCATCACTATGACAAAGGTGATTACAGTACTGGGGATAGTAGAAAAAGAAGTAGAGTTTGAGGTGATCAGTCCTTCAGCCTTGAACATGATCAGTCTCGTAACCTCAAGCAGAGGCATGAGGCCAGAGACTTGTATACTGAAGGCCAGAGACGTGTATACTGGAGCTAGAAATGAGGCATAGCAACTTGGAGATGATCAAAGGTAAGTGGAGCCCACTAGTGGAAGTAGGTCATGCTAAATAGTCATTAGCAATAGAGTTATAGAAGATATCCCATGTACTACTCTTGTGTTATCATCTTCAAGCTGCTACACCTCATATCCGGTTCCGGTATATAAGTCTCTGGCCTCAAGCCTCTCTTCTTTAGGCTAAGAGACTGACTCTCTTCAAGGCTGAGGGACTGAGCACCTCAAATTACCTCTATACTTCTGCTGCCTGCTATGCAGGAGAAACATTTCACCAGTAAAAATATGTGTGTTGCACATGTGCTTTGCTCGTCTAGTTGGTATTGAATACTATTATAATGATACTTTTTAATTTATTGCACATATGTGTGAATATGTAGGTAGTAGGTTGGTAGACAGCAACCATCCAGGGAGGTACTACCGTCCTGCCAAGTGAGTGTAAAACGAAAGCCTGTGATTGTTTTACATGATGGTAGGATTGCTGATGTCTTTTGTCTGTCTCATAAATATGCAAGATTACAGGCATGTCTTGCTACTTCTACTTACACTTAGGTCACACTACACATACATGTACACATTTATTTATACACACTCATCTGAGTTTTCTTTGATTTTATCTTAATAGTTCTTGGTCTTATTACTTTTCCTTTTATATCCATGGGGAAGTGGAATAAGAATCTTTCCTCCGTAAGCCATGCGTGTTGTAAAAGTCAACTAAAATGCCGGGAACAATGGGCTAGTAACCCCTTTTCCTGTAAAGATTACTAAAAGGAATAAGAAGAAAATTGTTTTCTTTCTTTTTTGGGTCACCCTGCCTCGGTGGGAGACGGCCGACTTGTTGAAAAAAAAAAAAAAAAAAAAAAAAGTGTGAATATCCTACGTAGTAGGTTGGTAGACAGCAACCACTCAGGGAGGTACTACCGTCCTGCCAAGTGAGTGTAAAACATAAACCTGTAATTGTTTTACATGATGGTAGGATTGCTGGTGTCTTTTTTTCTGTCTCATAAACATGCAAGATTTCAGGTACGTCTTGCTACTTCTACTTACACTTAGGTCACACTACACATACATGTATAAGCATATATATACACACCCCTCTGGGTTTTCTTCTATTTTCTTTCTTTATAATTTTTTTTTTTTATTATCACACTGGCCGATTCCCACCAAGGCAGGGTGGCCCGAAAAAGAAAAACTTTCACCATCATTCGCTCCATCACTGTCTTGCCAGAAGGGTGCTTTACACTACAGTTTTTAAACTGCAACATTAACACCCCTCCTTCAGAGTGCAGGCACTGTACTTCCCATCTCCAGGACTCAAGTCCGGCTTGCCGGTTTCTGTGAACCCCTTCATAAATGTTACTTTGCTCACACTCCAACAGCACGTCAAGTATTAAAAACCATTTGTCTCCATTCACTCCTATCAAACACGCTCACGCATGCCTGCTGGAAGTCCAAGCCCCTTGCACACAAAACCTCCTTTACCCCCTCCCTCCAACCTCTCCTAGGCCGACCCCTACCCCACCTTCCTTCCACTACAGACTGATACACTCTTGAAGTCACTCTGTTTCGCTCCATTCTCTCTACATGTCTGAACCACCTCAACAACCCTTCCTCAGCCCTCTGGACAACAGTTTTGGTAATCCCGCACCTCCTCCTAACTTCCAAACTACGAATTCTCTGCATTATATTCACACCACACATTGCCCTCAGACGTGACATCTCCATGCCTCCAGCTTCTCCTCCTGCAACATTCATCACCCATGCTTCACACCCATATAAGAGCGTTGGTAAAACTATACTCTATACATTCCCCTCTTTGCCTCCAAGGACAAAGTTCTTTGTCTCCACAGACTCCTAAGTGCACCACTCACCTTTTCCCCTCATCAATTCTATGATTCACCTCATCTTTCATAGACCCATCCGCTGACACGTCCACTCCCAAATATCTGAATACATTCACCTCCTCCATACTCTCTCCCTCCAATCTGATATCCAATCTTTCATCACCTAATCTTTTTGTTATCCTCATAAGCTTACTCTTTCCTGTATTCACTTTTAATTTTCTTCTTTTGCACACCCTACCAAATTCATCCACCAATCTCTGCAACTTCTCTTCAGAATCTCCCAAGAGCACAGTGTCATCAGCAAAGAGCAACTGTGACAACTCCCACTTTATGTATGATTCTTTATCTTTTAACTCCACGCCTCTTGCCAAGACCCTCGCATTTACTTCTCTTACAACCCCATCTATAAATATATTAAACAACCATGGTGACATCACACATCCTTGTCTAAGGCCTACTTTTACTGGGAAATAATTTCCCTCTTTCCTACATACTCTAACTTGAGCCTCACTATCCTCGTAAAAATCTCTTCACTGCTTTCAGTAACCTACCTCCTACACCATACACTTGCAACATCTGCCACATTGCCCCCCTATCCACCCTGTCATACGCCTTTTTCAAATCCATAAATGCCACAAAGACCTCTTTAGCCTTATCTAAATACTGTTCACTTATATGTTTCACTGTAAACACCTGGTCCACACACCCCCTACCTTTCCTAAAGCCTCATTGTTCATCTGCTATCCTATTCTCCGTCTTACTCTTAATTCTTTCAATAATAACTCTACCATACACTTTACCAGGTATACTCAACAGACTTATCCCCCTATAATTTTTGCACTCTCTTTTGTCCCCTTTGCCTTTATACAAAGGAACTATGCATGCTCTCTACCAATCCCTAGGTACCTTACCCTCTTCCATACATTGGGTAAGGTACCTAGGGATTGGCAGAGAGCATGCATAGTTCCTTTGTATAAAGGCAAAGGGGACAAAAGAGAGTGCAAAAATTTTCTTTCTTGTTCTTGTTTATTTCCTCTTATCTCCATGGGGAAGTGGAACAGAATTCTTCCTCCATAAGCCACTCGTGTTGTAAGAGGCGACAAAAATGCCGGGAGCAAAGGCCTAGTAACCCCTTCTCCTGTATAAATTACTAAATTTAAAAAGAGAAACTTTCGTTTTTCTTTTTGGGGCACCCTGCCTTGGTGGGATATGGCCGGTTTGTTGAAAACAAAAAAAGAAAGAAAAAAAATGTGTGAATATAATGCAGAGAATCTGTAGCTTGGAGATTAGAAGGAGTTCTGGGGTTTCTAAAAGTACTGTACAGTGGAGCCCCGGTTTGCGATGCTATCGGTGTCCGATAAATCCGGTAACCGATGTATTATATCGCCAAAAATTTGCCTCGGTTCCTGTTACAAAACTCGGTATACAATGCGATTCATACGAGACGTGTCCATGTGTGGCCTGAACTGCCCCGTGTGTGCCAGTGTTTACAAGCCAGCCAGTATGCGCGCATCTAAGGATACATTCGGTACATTCCATATTATCCATATTATCACTATTTTTTGTGCCTGTTTCTGCAAAATAAGTCACCATGGGCCCCAAGAAAGCTTCTAGTGCCAACTCTTTGAGACCAAAGGTGCTAATGACTATTGAAATGAAGAAAGAGATAATTGCAAAGTGCAAAAGTGGAGTGCGTGTGTCGAAGTGCATGATGATTTGGTAAAGAAATTCCTGCAACTAGTGGTGATGTGAGTGAAGTTAAGGCCAGCAAAGGTTGGTTTGAAAGATTTAAGAATCATAGTGGCATACACAGTGTGGTAAGGCATGGTGAGGGTGCCAGTTCAAGTCCTAATGGAAGGGGATTCCCCTTCTAAACACTAACACCATCCACACACTCCCCTCCTCCCATCCCATCAATCATCACCAGATCTTCATTAGAGGTAAGTGTCAATTATTCTATTGTTATTAATCTATTGTTATTGTTGTTATTGTAATTATTCTATTGCATTAAACTTAATATTTCATGTGGTAAAGTTTTTTTTTTCATACTTTTGGGTGTCTTGCACGGATTAATTTGATTTCCATTATTTCTTATTGGGAAAATTGATTCGCTTTCCAATAATTTTGGTTTACGATGAGCTCTCAGGAACAGATTAATATCGCGAACCGGGGGTCCACTGTATTATCCTGAGAGCTGAGGACAAGTTATTGAGGTGGTTTGGACATTGAGAAAGGATGGAACAAAATAGAGTGACTCGGAAGGTGTATAAATCTGTAGTGGAAGGAAGGTGGGGGAGGGGTTGTCCTAGGAAATGTTGGAGGGAGGGGGCAAAGTAAGTTTTTAGTGCACAAGGAGTTTAGACTTCCAGCAAGTGTGCATGAGTGTGTTATATAGGAGCGAGTGGAGGCAAATGACTTTTATGATTTGATATGTTGTTGGAGTGTGAGCAAAGTAACATTTATGAAGAGATTCAGGGAAACTGGTTAGCCAGACTTGAGTCATGGAGGTGGAAAGTATAGTGCCTGTGCTCTGAAGGAGGGGTGGAGATATGTTGCAGTTTTTGAACTGGAGTGTAGGCATGCCTCTGGCAAGACTGATGGAGTGAGTGATGATGAAAGTGTTACTTCTCTTTTTGGGTCATCCGCCTCAGTGGGAAATGGGATAGTGTAGTACTAGTTTGTTATGATTAAGTTTGTTTATATCTTTGGTGATCAGGCAGGCAGATCCTGGTATCTTTCTTTAGATTACTGGCGTATAACATGGCTCTGTCCTTTAAGGGTCCTGGCATTGGCTGCTCTACCATGACTGAATATTGGATGTAAATCTGATGTGGATGTGCAAAGGGCTCTACTGGGTTTCAACTAGGTTAAGGCATTGACTTAAGCGGTGGGAGAATTGGACCTGCCTTCCATGGACCAGTAGTCCTGCTGCAGTGTTCTTTCTTTCTTATGTTCATTTCCTGTATATCAGACTTTTGCCTCATCCCGTCTGCTAGTGGTTTTTCTGAATCTGACTAGGTTGATCACTTTCTGTTATACTGCTCCCACTTTTATTTACCCAGTGTTTGACTTTGTTAGATCAGATCTTCATTTGGTGATGGTCATGTTGACCTATTGAGTGCTATCAGCAACAGCCTGATTTACAAGGCAGTCAGTAAGGAAGCCTGGTTTCAGGCTTGACTACGAGAATAGAAGAACACTTAACACTGATCTCAGATAGCCTGTCAGAGGTTTGTTAGCTTTTTTTTTTTTTTTTGACTAGTAATTTTGACCCAGAGATTTATTACTACATTCTGGGGTATGATTGCTTATAACTGTATTGCACTGGCAGGGTGGGTGAGCTGTAAGTAGATCAGAAAGTCAGGTGGTAGGATTCATACAGTCCCTTGAGTCATCACAGCCCAATAAAAATATTGTCACAAAATTACTCTTGCCTATTTCTCAAAAAGGAAGATGATGGTCTTAGGAATGTGCAAATAATGACAAAGTGGTTGTTAAGAATTTTTGAATGAGGTGAGAATTTTTTAAAAATCAACATAATGGAAAGATACGAAAAATGTGTATCGAAAGGGGGGAATTTTTTTGGGGGAAAATAATATTTACTTGTTGGCACTGATACTTTCTGTAAGTTTGCTGAAATTCAAAAAGAGAGATATATACACTGTCTCATAGAGAACATTATCTACAATGTTTGGTAAGTTCATTTGGCCCTTAAATCTAATACGTATTTTTATAGTTTAAATTAATTTGATTTGGTGAACATAATAGGAATCTCTCTAAATGTTTCTTTTGTGTAGAAGATACTTAATAATTTTGTTTAGCACATATGCCATCTTTTACTAAAGTAATGGGGATTTAAGGATGGAAACGCATTCACTATCATTGATTCAATATCCATCTTGCCAGAAGTACATGGACATCACAATATCAATGACCTTCTGAACTGCAGCATCCCCTTTTTTTTATATTAATGCTGGAGCAGTTTTATATATTAAATGTAGCATATGAAGCATTGAATGGCAGCAAAGAATAAGCACCACCATGGCCAAAATCCGGGTTCATGAATGAATCAGTTCCTTAATGTTTTGTCTGTGAGAATGTGTTGCTGTTGTCTTCTACAGCTATAACTTTAGTTAAGAGCACCATAATAAAGTATGGTTTCATGGCACTGATCTCTCCCACACCTGCATTTTCTCCACTGTGAAATCAGAGCTTATTATTTACTGTTGTACAATGCCCCATATGGAGCCTGTTTATAAGTGATAATTATATTTGTATTTGAAGTTTTCTTTTGCATTTATTTTTAATACTTTTTTATTTCATATTAGGAGGGAGCTATTGAACCATCTGATAAGAACCTTTTCCCAGAATTCGACTGGCTAATTGGAAATCATTCTGATGAATTAACTCCATGGATCCCTGTCATTGCTGCAAAATCTAAACACACAACTCGTTTCTTTGTCATCCCATGTTGTGCCCACGACTTTGACTGCAGGTACCGGAGGAAGTATGCTGGAAGAAGCCAGTATTCAGACTATCTGGAATACATCAAAGAAGTGGGCATTGTTTGTGGCTTTGACGTATGGCAAGACAAACTGAGAATCCCATCCACCAAAAGAATTTGTTTGATAGGACAGGAGAGAACATACAGGACAAGGGATGCTCCTCAGATTTTTAAAAATATAAATGACTTTATTAGAAAAAGAAGTGATGGCGACAGTAAAAATACAGAGAACCAGGAAAGTCATGCAAATGTGAAAAGTCAGATTAAAAATCACCATGATATTTTCTGGACAGCAAACTTTAAGGTTCGGGAGGCTGTGCAACCAGTGCGCAACTGTACACAGTTGGAGACTAGTGTCAGAGAAGATCTAGTGTTAACAGTGGCAAAAATGCTTATGGAAAAAAAGCATGTAGTTGAGGTAATGACACTAAAAAGAAACACAGTTACTAAACCTTCTTATTTATTAATATTGTTTAAGCTTTTACAATTTTCATTTAATAATAAATTCACCTAATGTTTAACCAGTTATATACAGTGGTATTTTGCTTAGAATAAGCTATGAATGAAATAAATTTTACCAAGAATATAATTAACTGATAAGTTTTGTATCAAATGGTCACTTTCATGAATCATTAACCTAAACATGCCTTGATTATTTATTTGTGAGTTTACTAAAAGGTTAGAAGGTCTGTGTTGTAAATGGTGATGGGGTATATAAAATACATGATAAATTTCTATAGCACAATGTTTCATAGTTTTTAAACCTACCACACTTTCATAATAGTATAAAATGTTCAGCAACTTCAGTTTGGTATTCCACTAAAGTGTGCCAAACAGACATGAAAATAAATACATTAGTAAAATAGTTGTTGAAATAGGAGAAAACTTTATTTCAGTACATGTTTAATTTTTGTAAATTTCATAATTTTATGTTTGAAAAGTCAGTCATTAGTTGAGAAATAGTTTTATTCATAACTGCTTATAAATACATTTGTGTGTCTAAAGCATTTTTTCTTTTGTTAATGTATAACAGGTTGAAATAAGCCAGAATAATTTTGTAACCTGGGACCGCGGAGGCAGAATGACTCTGAGTGACATAGCTAAACGCATGGAACCTCAGCAACTCTTGGCACTCAAGAAGGAATGTGGAGGCTTACAAACATTGCTGAAGAATCACAAACACATTTTTAACATCTTACATGGAGAAGCAAATCTTCAAGTGAGATATCAGCTGATATATTTTACTTTAGTACAGTTTGTAGATTTATGTATATACTGTATGGGTAACTTACCTAGGATATTGTTATGATTAAAAATTTGCATTAGACATTGAAGTCACTTCACGGCATGAGCCTTGATGCCAGTGAAGGGGATCTTGATTTTGGAATTAAAGCTGCCCTCCTCTTTCTTGGATCATACTTAATTGCTTTCCATTCCCAAGAAGTTGTTTGACTCCTATACAAGCACTTCACCATGAATGTATTATCATCATTATTTTCATGGAAGAGCATCAAATCTTTGGGATTATACAGAGCCTGGGAAAAAGGGAGGAAGTCAGGTTAGATACCCTGAGTCAATTCCATGGTTCAGGGGTCCCTCACTGGCATCAGGAACCTCCCTTGCGGAAACAATACCTGAAGGGTGTTCTGGGGGTCAGTGCCCTCATGGCCCAGTCCACGACCAGGCTTTGAACGTAAAAAATAATAATAATAGACATTCAAGTAAAAAATTTTACATCCATTGATAAAGCTTTGTTTAATAACCCAATTTTATATGGAGAATGTTTGTACATAGAGGATGAAACCAGTTTATTTATTTGAAATGGTATATTTGAAAGTGGAACAAGGGGCTAGCAAATTTAAAAAGAGAAACTTTTGTTTTTCTTTTTGGGCCACCCCGCCTTGGTGGGATATGGCAGGTTTGTTGAAAAAAAATATTTGAAAGTTACACGGGAAAATAGATGTACCATGCATGCTGTATTTTTCGCAGTATGGTAGTGAAACTCATCTTTGCTTAATAATTAAAAGTTGTTTTATGTAACACCACTTGAGTTATTTTCTAAACATTTAAATTACTCTTTGCTAATTTTACATTCTATTTTCCATTTCTGTTATATTATACTTGCCTAAAGAGGGCTTGTAGCTGGAATGGAAATTGCATTAATGGCACATATAATGGCATTTTATGCCAATCTTGCCACCCTGTTTCATTTAGCAAGTATCTTTTTGGCAAAATAGGTGAGCATAAATCAGTTGTTTCCAAACTCTGAAAATGCCAATTCAGTATATTTCATAGATGTAATATACTAAACTTAAATTGCTCTAAAATAGGTTAAGTTGAATTAATATATATGTTTTGTGGTATACAGACTACTCGATGGGTCCACTGTTGAGTAGGCGAATAATGGTGTTATACATCCATTTTATGAGGGCATAAAATGGGAGCAAAACATGGTCTGATTTGTCTGTGAGGGAGAACATTATACACATGATCTAATCTGCCTGAGAGAGGAACAATTTCAAATTACATATTATACCTCCCACCACTCCTTTCTTCTTTTACCATTGTTTCACAGAGGCATAGTGGTGTTATGACCCCTGATTTATGGGTGAATGACACAAAAAACTAAGAAAAAATATAAAAATATGATGAGAAATGTCACACTGTACTTTGTTACTGTTTTGTTGAAGGGTTGCAGCGGCTCTTAGGCTGACCATAGCTGGGTTAAAGTGTTGTGTTGGACTTTAGGCTGTAGCATTCTTTCAACAGCAATAGTTGATCTAGGAATCATTAAAATGTTTCACCATCATTCATTCAACTTCTGTCCCCATTTACCCTCGCATTTTAACTGATGATGCAAAGCATATAAAAATATTGCGAGTGTTGAATGCTGGCTCAGGTAATGGCTAATTTAGTCTCATCTGTGGATGTATTTGAGGTGATAAACATTATTAACATTATCAAGTCATTGTAAGAGGAAGTGGTTGTTCATCAGGGGAAAAGACAGTTCAGAACCTGAAATTTTGTTGTTAACCCTTTGACTGTCGCAAGCCCCTTTCTGAAACTGTCATTCATTGTCGCAAAAGTTTTGGAAAAAAAAAATTATTTTTTCTTATGAAATGATAGAGAATGTTTTCCCGATGGTAATGACACCAAAAGTATGAAATTTGGTCGAAAACTCATGGAATTACTCTCCCGTGAAGTTAGTGGTCTCGGCGACATATGCGCATCGGCGATTTCGCCGACTTTGAGCCCTGTTTTTGGCCAATTCCGTTGTTCCAGTTGACCAAACTCATAGCTATTTCTTTAGATCTCCATTTTTTCTATCAGTTGAGTACAAGAAACCGCCCATTTACCGATTTGAACTACCCAGTAAAGTGGTCAGAAATTGGCAATTTGGCCTATTTCACGCATATTAAAAAAGATGCCAATTTCAAAATAGGGTCCAGAATAAACAATGTAGACAATCTTGGCACTAAAATAACATATCCTCTGTTCATTAGTCACATCTCTAGGCCCCTCTTATATTACTATTGCATTCTATTTTGATTTTTTATTCATGCAAAAAATACAAAATTTACTGTTATGCAGACTACTGCATTATTGTCAAAATGGTATAAACAATATCAGTGCACTAGTGAAAGAATATTAGACTCCCCAGTTGACATGTATTGGATGTGTGATGTAATTTGCTTACTCCTGAACATTGGTAAAAATCCAACATTTCTGCTACTTTGAGCTCAATTTCAAGGTCATTTTCATTGTGAAACTAATCAAAATCATCTCTATTTCTGTAATATGTTTTCCATTTTATCACATGAGACCATGAAAATGAGAATACAACAATAAATACTATACGAAAATACACCTCAAAGTCGGCGTTTTAATAAAAAAAACGGTCGTTTTTTTTTCTCATTATGCACTGCGTGCTGCAAGATTTTTTTATGTGGTGCACACTGACCACACAGACCCATTCTCTCACATGAGGGCCTACCAACTTTCTCCTGCTTGATCTGAAGCCGCTAGAATTTACGCGTATTAATACGTCCGAAACAGTGGAGCGCAAGACGTATATATATATGACCAAAACAGTCAAAGGGTTAAACAAGCAGGAGCCAGTTGTTAATGGGGAATGGGGGGTATTCAGAATTATGTTATGTGAATGGTCATTAAACAAGGGATCACTCTTATTATTTTTATTATTATTATCAATATCATGCATTCATAAGGAAGCACTAAACCCATAGGGGCTATTCAGTGTTTAGGGGATGGGGAATAAGAGGCAGTCAGGTTTGATCCAAGGAAGTAGCCCTGCATAGGCATCTAGGTACTTCCTTGAAGACTTCCATCTTATGATTGCAATAATATGAGAAGTTGTGATAAAATATTTTAAATGATCTTGACTAATAAATACAATAGCATAATAATTTGTGTTTCTTTGACAGATTCCAATACCAATATGGAAAGCAAAAGTGCCAAGCAGTCGTATCAAGACAAAACCTTGCTGGTTCTATGTCAGCCACATTATGGGCTGTCCTTTGCCATCTCAAACATGTATATATGCTCATGGTGATGCAGATTTGAAAGAAGTTAATGGCACAATAATTTCTAAATAATGTAGCTATTTGAATATAGGTAGTGTCTTCTTCTTTCAACAAACCGGCCATGTCCCACCGAGGCAGGAGGTAGTGTCATCTTTGTGAAATAATCCAGGTAGGGTAAATCAGATTAGTTTTCATAAATTTGACCAGTTGTAAATTAATAAAATTAATACATTTTCATTGTTTTTAAATTTACATCTTTTTAATACTTAAAAGAAACACAAGCAACTAATTGTATGCACAGACAATTTACATCATGGGAAATGGATGAAGTAAGCCAGCTTTCAGAATATTGAAACTGTATGAATACATTTCCTTGAATGAGGTACGGTACTTTGATACTGGTGAGGAATCCTTAACCCTTTCACTGTTCATGCCACAGTACTACGGTATGGACATATGCTCATAGGCCTATATATGATATAATGGGTCTGTGTGGTCAGTTGTGTGCAGTAAATAAAATACTGGGGTGCTCACATTGCATTGTAGAACACCATCTCTGTACCTTACTCCCTGTCGAATTGAGAATCTCCTCTTCCCAAGTGACAGTTCTAACACAAATGGAAGTGGAAGGGAAAAGGAATTCTATGGTTTTGAACAATTTGTGACTGCAAGCAATGCTCAGGATACTGAGAATAGTGCCGAAAACCTTGATGACCCTCAACATTCTACCTCTGATGCTGGTCCATCTGGGTCATGCTCAGTTGTACCTTGCCATAAGCAAAAGCTTATATTTTCCTTTGGCCAGGCCTCAAATGTGAGCACGTAATGGTGATGACACCGACGTGGACTTTGATTTTATTGCTCTTGATGACCATTCGAGTACCGACAGCGAGGAAGAATATTCACCAGTGAAGAATCGGTTTATGTGATGCCGCATGCGGTCTGGTAGTGTGCCATGTGCAATTCCAAGGGTATGGAGTACATCTTGTGGCCCTACACCAGGAACAGATAGTGAAAGCGACGAAGTGGCTACAATTGGGATGGAAAATGACTGCATGCATTGGTAGGTGGTGGTGCCATGCTGGGTGTGGCACCAGCAACAGCCCAGGGTGGGACCCATGCTACTGACTCAGCATGTCCATGACCCAAGGCATCCTCAATCAGCCCCACACGACAGACACAAACATGACCACATTCAGCTACTAATATCCAGTATTCACCAACAAACTGCATCTGGGAATGACAGCAAAGTGCAAATTTTGGGCCCAGTCCCTATCAGTTTGATGATGACAGTCACAGTGGGATCCTGCCAAATTGTACCCTTGGGAACACTGCAAGTGAACTGGAATTCTTTGAACTCTTCTTTGACCATTCCCTGAAGGAAATTGGCAGGGAAAATAACAGGTACTTTGAAAAATTAGACACATGAGCAACACTTGGGTATCTTTACTGAGGAAACATTTTGCCACACAGTGGCTTCATCAGTCCTAAACAAAGAAGAATGGTGAAGATCAGGAGTTTGAGGTAAGCAGTCCCTGAGCCTTGAATTGATGTAATCAGTCCATCAATCTTGAAAAGATTGCAGCATATGCACAAAGAAAGAGGCGAAGGCCTGAGCTTGCTACCATCTGCAGCTCATGAGACTGCCATCCCCACGAGCCCCTTTGGGACGGGGCAGATGGCAGACCAGAGGCCTAGCTTCTCCCTACAAGCCCCGTGAGGGCGGGGACTGTGGCTAGGCCTGGGGACAGTTGGTCCCAAAGATGAGGGGGTACTTGTACCTCCTCCCATGGGAGACTTAGGTCTCGAGACACTCCCCAGATAGGGAGCCAAGGCCGGGTCACCACTACTTGGAAAAGACCCAGGCTGGGAGAATACCGGCGAATAAAAAACAAAAAAAAAAAAATGCACAAAGAAGTGGCTTATATACTATAGACAAGTGAGGTGAAGCAATCATAGGCAGTATCATATGGGACAAATCCAAGGTGGAAGTAGGTCATGCCTGTAGGTTAGGCAAGTGAAGAATTCCCTGTATCAGGACCCCAAAATGTTGCTGTGTCTGACAGGAATAATAATACTGTAATATAATACTGTCTATATAGTAGTATGTCATTGATGTCAGCTATGCCTGTATCTATTTCTACAAGTATGTACATGTATAAGGTATACAGGCCTAGCTGACATCAATGACATACTACTATATATACAGCTGCATGTTATGCAGAGCATTTGGGGCAAATTAGGTCAGTTAGTAAGTAAGTTTATTCAGGTATACACAAATACAGTTACATAGATTATCATACATAGCAGCATATGTGTAGAGAACCTAGGATAACCCAAAAGAGTCAAAGTGACTTATTTCCATTGGGGTCCTGATGACAATATTAGTGCTGTTATTGTGTTGAATACAATGAGTGGATGTATATACAGTATGTTGGTCTCGCAGGTCACAAAAGATACTGGAGAAAATAAAATATTAAAAAAGAAAAGAAAAAGTGAACCCCCCCCAATAAGGAAAATAATATGGAGTACATGGCAAGTCGCCGATGTTGCCGGCAGCCACCCACTGTCAACTTCACATCTTGGTAAGTACTCATGGGAATATTTTGTTTTGGTTTGTTACCTTCATAAAAATAAAATCTTTAAATATACTATAACAAAAGAAATTTTTTTTTTTTTTAAATTCTCGGACACTGAGAGCAATAATCAGATCAGAGGTCTGGACAATGAAAGGTTAATCTAAGCCATTGGAAATATTGCCATCCTTAGATTAAACCTGATTGTTTCCTATTCTTCCAAGATGCTATGTGATATCTGCAAGTTTAGTGCTCCCACAGTTTTTTTTTTTTTGTAACCAGTTGTTCTCTACAGAGGCAGGATGAGGAAGCACTTTCATGATCATTCACTCAATTGCTGTCTTGCCAGAAACATCACTGTTATCATCACTACAACACTGTTATAATCACTACTACATTATTATAACTTCACTGTTATCACTACTACACTGTTATCACTACTACTACATTATTATAATGAGGACTTCAGTGTTATCATCACTACTACACTTATCATCACTACTACACTTATTATCACTACTACACTGTTATCATCAGTACTACATTATTATAACAAGTACTTCACTGTTATCATCACTACTACACTGTTATCATCACTACTTCACTGTTATAATCACTACTACACTGTTATCATCACTACTACACTGTTATCATCACTACTTCACTGTTATCATCACTACTACACTGTTATCATCACTACTACACTATTATCATCACTACTACACTGTTATCATAATCTACATTATTATAACAAGTATTCACTGTTTATCATCACTTACTACACTATTATCATCACTACTACACTATTATCATCACTACTACACTGTTATCATTACTACATTATTATAACAAGTACTTCACTGTTATCATCACTACTACACTGTTATCATCACTACTTCACTGTTATCATCACTACTACACTGTTATCATCACTACTTCACTGTTATCATCACTACTACACTATTATCATCACTACTACACTATTATCATCACTACTACACTGTTATCATCACTACTTCACTGTTATCATCACTACTACACTGTTATCATCACTACTTCACTGTTATCATCACTACTTCACTGTTATCATCACTACTACATGTTATCATACTTTCACTGTTATCATCACTACTACACTGTTATCATCACTACTTCACTGTTATCATCACTACTACACTGTTATCATCACTACTTCACTGTTATCATCACTACACTGTTATCATCACTAATACACTGTTATCATCACTACTACACTATTATCATCACTACTACACTATTATCATCACTACTACACTGTTATCATAACTACATTATTATAACAAGTACTTCACTGTTATCATCACTACTTCATTGTTATCATCACTACTACAGTTATCATAACTACTACATTATTATAACAAGTACTTCACTGTTATCATCACTACTACACTGTTATCATCACTACTACACTGTTATCATCACTACTACACTGTTATCATCACTACTACACTGTTATCATCACTACTACACTGTTATCATCACTACTACACTGTTATCACTACTACACTGTTATCATCACTACTACACTGTTATCATCACTACTACACTGTTATCATCACTACTACAGTTATCATAACTACTACATTATTATAACAAGTACTTCACTGTTATCATCACTACTTCATTGTTATTATCACTACTACACTGTTATCACTACACTGTTATCATCACTACTACACTGTTATCATTACTACTACACTGTTATCATCACTACTACACTGTTATCATCACTACTACACTGTTATCACTACTACACTGTTATCATCACTACTACACTGTTATCATCACTACTACACTGTTATCATCACTACTACACTGTTATCATCACTACTACACTGTTATCATCATTACTACATTGTTATGATCACTACTACACTGTTATAATCATTACTACATTGTTATGATCATACTACACTGTATCATCACTATACACTGTTATGATCACTACTACACTGTTATGATCACTACTACACTGTTATAATCATTACTACATTGTTATGATCACTACTACACTGTTATCATCACTACTACACTGTTATCATCACTACTACACTGTTATGATCACTACTACACTGTTATAATCATTACTACATTGTTATGATCACTACTACACTGTTATCATCACTACTACACTGTTATCATCACTACTACACTGTTATCATCACTACTACACTGTTATCATCACTACTACAGTTATCATCACTACTACACTGTTATCATCATTACTACATTGTTATGATCACTACTACACTGTTACCATCACTCTCAGTACTTCACTGTTATCATCACTACAACACTGTTATCATCACTACTACACTGTTATCACTACACTGTTATCACTACACTGTTATCATCACTACACTGTTATTGTCACTACTACAATGTTATCGTCACTTTACACTGTTATCATCACTACTACACTGTTATCGTCACTACTACACTGTTATCGTCACTACTACACTGTTATCGTCACTACTACACTGTTATCACTACTACTGTTATCACTAGTTCACTGTTATCATCACTGCTACACTGTTATCACTACACTGTTGTCATCACTACACTGTTATCATTACTGCACTGTTATCATCACTATTACATTATTATAACAAGTGCTTCA